AGATTGAAACTAAATATTTTTTTGTTTCGAAGTTGAAATCAAGGCATATTCACTGCCAAAAGTCAGTTAAAAATTTTCCATATTATTCGTTATTTCTTATTTTATTCAAAGTTTTTGGTCAAATTCCAAATTTTCTCTCAAACCGTATACTTTTTTTTTTAGTATAGATAGTATTTATTTACCTCATGATATGCTGCATAACCTAATTAATCACGAATTTCTAATTTTATGTACTCTTGTCTCCGATTGTACCCCCCAAACATCCTTAATATCTATCAATTCTACATTTCTAGACGAATAAATAAAAATAAAGACGAAGAATATATACCAACGTTTAAATAACCGTGACAAAGGGGAGGAGGGTTAAAGGGTTAAAAATTACTAAAATTCTGCTTCCGTAACACTTGATGACCCTTCCCTTATCACACAAAACAAAAATATATCAAAAAATTTTACACAAAAACCTACCCCCCCACCCAAAGGACCAAAATAAAAAATTAAATAATAATAGTCACTTACCGATTGCGTGGACCATTTTCAAAAAACTTTCCGGAGGTATCAGGGGCGGATCCAGTTCTGAAAAGAACAACTTGACAGTTGCAGCCAGTTCGTAGACGTTATTTTTCTCCAACGATCCGTATTTGTTTCGGGAAATTTTCGTCTTGATCTTTTCCAACTTTTCGTCGCTCAACTGTTTCGAATAAATGTTTTCCACTTCAATATTTTTTTCTATTAACGGAACGATACGTTGTAGAAATTCTGGAATATTAGACTTGGAATTCTTGCAGAGACTTTCCAAGTTCCATTTGGCATCTTAAATAATCACTAATATCACTTCATTTAATTAAAAAAAAAAAAAAAGAATTCAACGAAGTACTTAATAAACAGAAATCGAATTTGTCAAAAACTATTACAGTGTTTTAGTCTTCTATAACAAAATTTTACCAATTACGTGTTAAACGAAATAATGATGATGGTTATGGATTTCATGCGAAACGTCGTCATATTCTATATTCCTTTCCTACACAAATGTGTTATTTTATTGACGCTTCGACTTCTTCTAGTTTTGGGTCTTGGAGAAAAATATAAATTTTAAACAATTCCGATGTATACAGGGTGTTCCACGTAAAGGAGTTTCGTCCATTACTCTGCTTTTGTATTAATTTGATTTAATATTCTAATTTAATAAGAAAAATGTTTTTATAAAAGTGGTCTGGAATCATATGGTACATATACAGAAAATATTTCCAGTCATACAGGGTGTTCCATTTCTTCTGGACGCTACCTAATTTCGTCAATTTAAATGAAACATCCTATATATTTGTCGACGTTGTTAAAGTCGACTTAAAATTAAACAAGGAAATCAAAAATGTAAAAATATATAGGGTGTTCGATTTCCAAGTAAAATAACGAAGTTAGGTAGCGTCCAGAAGAACTGGTCCACCCTGTATGACTGAAAATATTTTCTGTATATACACCATACGATTCCGAGCCACTTTTATGAAAACATTTTTTTTACTAAATGTATAATGACAAAGTTATGAACAAAACCGCCTTACACGGAACACTCCGTATATTGAAAAACTCATTTATTGACTGATAAGTCAAATGTAAAAATGAGTTTTTCAATACTAATTCATCGTAATAGTAATAAACTCTTTAGTTCTAATGGAGGCCCAAAACTAAGGAAGAAAGTTCAAATAATAATGTCTACGTTATTGTTATGAGAAGTTTTTCGTAGTAAAGACTAGACTTATAGAAAATTATGAGTATCTATTAAGTCTACATTACCCAATTACTTAACTGAACATAAGAAAGACGCAAAAAGTAAAGAAGCAAGAACAAAAAAGTACCTTTTGGTGACGAGACAGAATCTTTTTTCATCGCTTTAAAAAGATTTTCCATAGATCCAAACTTTGACTTCGCACTCGTTTTTGTGGAACTATCTTGTTGTAAGTCTTTTCTACTTGACTTGGCCGATTCTTGAGAATTACCATTTAATACTGCGTTTACATTAATCCTATTTCTAACACTAAACGGCGGACTAGACTCCTTAAAAAGCACACATAACACTAATATTTTAACTACTATTACGATCACATTTTAGTATTTCATCTTTCCATGTAGGTATCACGGGCGTAGCTAGGGCGACCAAGGGGGAGTACTGTTCTCACCCTACAAAAATCATCAACACTTCTGATGAAAATACAGTGTTTTCTGTCTAAATCTTTAAAAAGTTTAAGACCATTCCTCCTTAAATTATCTACTCTATCATATCCCAAAACCCCCGTTCGTTTACCGAATGTTATCAATATTGTCACGGTGACTGTCCCTTAGGAATACTTCCTAGCTACGCCAGTGGTAGGTACCCTTATATATTACACTTATATATGTATAAAAAGGTCAACAAATTTAGTTAAGTAGGAAATTTCCGCATTGATTTCTATCTACGAGGGTGGATTGATAAGTTTCCGGCCTAACCAAGAGATGACGCCACTAGGCCTACCTTGAGGTGACATTCTATAGTACCATCCTTGGATAGCTTGTAGCTATAGTTTCAGCCCGATCTCCTTGCTAGTGTAGGTTTGACAGCACGCTGAACAAGACGCCTCTGTGGTTTTCGTAAAAATGGAAAAGCAGGAAAATCGTNTAGTATTATTACTACTGCTATATTGTTATGTTTTATAACATTACGTACTTGTAAAAATCAAGACCGCAACAGAAAAAAATTGCGAAAGTACGTGAAGGTAACGCTTACGCTACGCGAAATAAAAGTAAATCTTATTGCAGCTTTGAAGTTACAAAAACGGTAATCGCAATGTGTAAAAGTACAACTTAAATACAAGTAACACTTTGACATTTACTTTATTAATTACGAACCGATTATTTACCTACCATCATTTCCCTAAGCAGCTTCATACATTCGTCCATCTCGAAGGTTGTTAACGACGAAAACGGCTGATGGTGTCGTAGTTTCCAGACGCATTCGCGGCGCTTTTTTTATTTATCACCGACGACCGTTTTTCACAATTTTCCGACAAAAGTACCAACCGAATTCCCATCAGTGAAACTGGCATTATTACATCTCGACGGCAGCATGGATTGCCTGACACTGGATGCGATAACAATAACTGCCCACCTCGCCATTATTATTATTATTATTATTATTATTACTACTATTATTAATGCTGTTGTACTGATAACGAACGCGTTCGAAAGTCAATCTCACAAATAGTGGAATGATAACGTTCAAGTCGCAATATTCTACGTAACTATAATTCCAAACTGTATTAAGTTCTTTTTGTTTTAGACTTTGGTGGTCTATTTACCTATTATATTACGTATCGACTCGAATAAATCAAGAGGGCTTGGGAGATAGATATATTAGCGAGCGAAATTCCGTTTGTAATTCAGTTCAAGTGAATTAGCGACTAAATCCGCGGGAAATTGGTAGCCGGGTTCGCGCCGAATCGAATACAACAACTATCACAAGATTACACTAACGACTATCCTTTACTGACATACTATTGTTGATGTGGTTACTGTGCGTCTAAAAGAAATGATGACAGTACGCAGAAAATTAAGTTAATTAGGACAGTGGACTATTTGACGTATGAACCATATGTGCCACAAGCTTAAAGCAAAATTAGGCTTTTCATTAAACGCCGAGGCCTTTAGAAGATTACCTGAAGACCTGGTAAATTGGAAAACATAAAAATTGGTTATAATAAAAATTATTATTTATATTTGTTTTCTTACCGATTCACTAAGGAATTCGTTCCTGTAAATGTTTAATAATATTTCAATAATTTTATTGGCATTAGTGTGGTTCTCCAGGATGTTTTCTTGAGAGGTTTCCGGCGGCCATATCAGCGTGGGCCCCCACACTATTGAAATATTGTAAGCGTCCATTTTGTTGTCCTGCTTGAATTTTTCAACGTGAACCAGATGCTTTAGAAGAGTCAAAAATGTCTTTTTATGAGGCAAGTCCATTTTATTGATTGAGTATTTTATTTTTTCTATCGCGCTAGGATGTAAATCCTTATCTAAAAGTTAGACGCAAGGTAAAAAAAAATTCTTGCAAATTGGTCTTTCGATATGGGTCAACTGAGATTGAGATCACAAATGAATACATGGGGTTCTCTTGGGTGGTGTTTTAAAAGGATATTTTTCGATTCCTTGGCTAGGTTTTCAAAGCCGATCAATATTAATTGGTTAATTGGCATTAAAGCGTTCGAAATGTGGTGTTATAGGCGGATGATGAGGATATCGTGGGTAGAAAAGGTTAGAAATGAAGAGGTATTGGAAAGAATAGGAGAACAGAGGACTCTATAGAAGTCAATAAGAAATAGGCGAGATAGGTTGGTAGGACACCTTCTTAAGTATGATGGTCTAGTCAGAGACATATTGGAGACAGAAACACGAGTTAAAAGGAGTAGAGGAAGACCTAGATTAGATTACTGTTCACAAATAGTTAACAATGTGGGATGTTCCAGTTTTAGGGAAATGCGAAGATTAGCTCAGGATAAGGAGTGGAGATGCGTGTCCAATCAGTCTTAGGACTGACGACTTTATGATAATGAAACAAAAAGCAGATATTTTAGATACCAAATCAAGTGTTAACGAATAATCCTGCACCTCAAAGAAGAAAGATAGTGTGGAGATAAGTGAGCCAGGTTATGCCATTATGAGAGAAGAGTTCGATGTAGCATTAAAAGACTTAAAGAATAATAAGGCGCCAGGTGTAGATGGGTAGAAGAAAGGATAGGAAGGAGTGGAGACGCGTGTCCAATCAGTCTTAGGACTGACGATCTTATAATGCTGATGAACTTAGTTATGGACAGCCCCACAAATTAAAAAAAAAAAAAAACAATATATTTAGTTTGCATACCTACAAATTGCAGTAGTTCTTCATACGTTTTATGTGGTATCACAGGTTCGTTTAATTCTCTAAAAAACAATTTTAAAGCCCCAGTCAAGACATCGATATCGTTCATGTAGTCATTCAAAATCGACAGATTATTTCTGTCGACTTGAAATCGTATTTTCTGAATCGTCGCTAAATTCCCAGACGCCCTGTACAGTCCAAGACTCCGTATATTTTTCGGCAATTCGATTATGTTAATGATTTTAACAACGAATGGCGGCACTGGCACACGATATTTGCTATACAAATTGTTTAGTGTATTCCCGAAGATCGGTTCGTTCCTTATAATCCCCTTTTTCTCCAGCATGTCTTTGCTGGACCTCCTTCCGAGGAGTTTTAATAGTCGATGCCTTATTTGAACCCGCTCTTCGTTTTGGGGCGCTAAAGGAGCTTTCTCTGTAAGGGAATTCGATCGTGGACGACCCCTAAAATCGTTGTTGAAATATTTGTGTAATTCCCCCAAAATCATGTTCATATCGTCCGTATTGTCGAACTGCAGTTTGTAAAGTTTGCATTCTTCGGCAGTTGTGTTCGTGATATGGATTTCTTTTTTATTTGTGTACGGTTTGTAATGAGTTATGTTAACATCTTTTCGTAAAATTTCCTGAAAATTAATCTTTATTTTCTTGTTTTTTTTTACTTAGTGAATATATTACTCTTTCGCCCTTGTCGCTGAGCAGTACCATTTCACCTTTGTATATTTGCAGCATTTGATTTTTAAAAATTTTTCGCCCAGTACCATCGATATAAATTTTTACTACCTTTTTCATATTCAACGGACGATCTTCTATAGAATTCTCCAATTCACTTACGCTAAAATCACGATTATTTAAACTACAATTGTTTTTAGCCTGATTCGCATAATGTTCATAAATATTACAAGAAAAATGCACCATTGAATTCGTTCTAAAATTTCGAGAAACATTTTCCTTTTTAGTTTTTTGATACGACGAATAATTAGCGAGCAACGAGACAGTAAACATTAACCAATCAGAGAGCGCAGTGACTGCTGCATGTAGAAGTCGGCGAGACACGGCTAGTAGCAGCTGAACAGAAATCAATGTTAACTTCACTCTACTTGCAGCAGAGTTACTAAAGTGCGATTGGTTGATCTTTAATACTACATAACTTCGTAATTAAACATCCGATTGTAAAACAGTAAAGGAGTAAAATTGACAGAATTTTGCAAAGAATTTGACAGTACAAGTAGTTTTTATTAACACCTGGTATATTGCAGAAAATCATAGCTTATTATTAGATTACCGTTTGTGATAAATACATACAGCTACCTCTCGTTAAAATCATTAGTAAATAAAAACTTTGTCTATCTAAAAGCCAATCTACCAAATCTACAACAGCTTCCGGTAAAGACGGAAAGCAAAATGAATAGTCCAATGTTAAAGATCAACACTGGAAGTAGGTTGTCGATACTGTATCCCAGATCGTGGGATAACAAATGATTGACGATGAGTTAATAAAATGCCAGTAATTAAACGATACCTCACTTAAGTTCAGCTTTGTCATAAAATAGCTTAATTTAATTTTAAATAATAATAAAATAGGAAACAATTTAAAAAAATAACCTTTATAAACGTTTTCAATTTTGAGAATTTAATCGATTAAATATTGTGATTAAAATTTTCTTCAATTAAATCCCTACTATTATCTATACGTAATATAAATTATCAAAATAATAATTAACGAAATAATCAATCATTTGGACATTAAAAAGGCACTTACTATCCATGAATCGTTTGAGACCTGTTAGTAACAGTTCGATCCCCAGATTTTTTTCTTACTTCTACATCACATTCGGTAGGGAACGGGGAAACCCCTTCCTTTTTCTCAGTTATATTTTCTAGACTAGTGTATTCCTGAAAAGAAAAAAGAAAATTGTAAGACAAAACATTTAGTGATATATTGCTAATAAAGTTTATTACATGTATGTGACCCTTATTCATTGAAATAACTGAAGTAGGTACATGAAAAAAGGGTTTAATGTAGCAAGAAGGATGTAGCAAACTCCTTCTATTTATGGGTTAAACATTTATGCACCGCTACTGATACAGACTTGTTTTATTTTTACCTTTGCACTTTAATAAAATGAATGCAATGTAAGTATAGTCAATTATCTTTTGGTATTTCATAGTCTTTATGGTTTTGTCAAATGTCAATAGGTAACATTTAAATAAAGGGTAGCTATATGCTAAAAAGTGTCATAAGGCATATAAAAATTGATGACCACTACACAACTATTATGCGAACAATGAATTATACTCTTATTGATATTTAGTAGTTGTTGCTTTTTATATTGGACAGACTAGAAGTTTCTTAGACAAACGTAATGATGAACATGTAAAAATCCAAAAACAAACGGTAACAAATGTACAGGGTTATCACAATATTGCATAGAAACACTCTTTAGATTTATTTAATATTAAATTATTACACACAGTTCAGTTAAAAAACTTTAGAAAATATTAAAAACTCCATGGGAGGTCTCCCTTTTGTAAACATAATAGCAGATTTCTATTGCTAAAAGTCACTACCGGTTGTAAATTAATAGCAACAGTATTCATAACACCTACATAACTCTTTGATAATAACATAATCGCAGAAGGAATTATCAGTTTTTTGATAAATTAATTGTGAAAGCAATAGCTATAGGTATAAAGGTTTTTTTTTTCAATTTTTGAATTTTAAGTTAATTAGAATTTGCAGAATACATCAAAAATTTTGATAAGAGAGGCAAGAGTACAGTTAGCAGTACTTCTCTTAACTCCTATTTCTTCTTCTAATGTGTTTTTGACTAGCCCTTCATGCCTGAGAAGGTGTCCTAACGACCTATCTCGCCTATTCCTTATCGACTTCCATAGAGTCCTTTCTAATCCCTTTTCATTTCTAGCCTTCTCTATCCACGGTATCCTCATTATTAGCCTGCAACAACACATTTTGAAAGCTTCTAACCTTTTGTTTCGCACCCGTACAGCTCCGCACTCCAGACATACACCTTTAAATAATATCGTACGAAAGGAAGCTGAAAATAAACTGCATTCGCCAATTTTTCGACTGACGGACGGACGGACGTGACAAAAATTATCAAAAGTCCGTCCCTGGATAACCAGCGCGTACAAAAATGTACTTATTAGATCCAATCTCTACAGACATACACATTCGTACCTATTGTAGATGTAAACAATCGCGTACACGTTTGTACGTACGTATGTATGTACGTACGTTAGCAAACGATTACAAAACGAGATAATTACGGATGTGGAAGTTTAATGTGCGCAGCTCGCGATAATTACGTACATTCAGCCACTTGCATAACTCCATACACACACACACACACACACACACACATGAACACATATCTACAGCATTAAGGGATATAAACAACGAGAAATAGTCAGGCCTGATGCATACGAAACTCACGAAAATAAAATACAATAATCGATTATTATTAGTATTATTACTACTGCTATATTGTTATGTTTTATAACATTACGTACTTGTAAAAATCAAGACCGCAACAGAAAAAAATTGCGAAAGTACGTGAAGGTAACGCTTACGCTACGCGAAATAAAAGTAAATCTTATTGCAGCTTTGAAGTTACAAAAACGGTAATCGCAATGTGTAAAAGTACAACTTAAATACAAGTAACACTTTGACATTTACTTTATTAATTACGAACCGATTATTTACCTACCATCATTTCCCTAAGCAGCTTCATACATTCGTCCATCTCGAAGGTTGTTAACGACGAAAACGGCTGATGGTGTCGTAGTTTCCAGACGCATTCGCGGCGCTTTTTTTATTTATCACCGACGACCGTTTTTCACAATTTTCCGACAAAAGTACCAACCGAATTCCCATCAGTGAAACTGGCATTATTACATCTCGACGGCAGCATGGATTGCCTGACACTGGATGCGATAACAATAACTGCCCACCTCGCCATTATTATTATTATTATTATTATTACTACTATTATTAATGCTGTTGTACTGATAACGAACGCGTTCGAAAGTCAATCTCACAAATAGTGGAATGATAACGTTCAAGTCGCAATATTCTACGTAACTATAATTCCAAACTGTATTAAGTTCTTTTTGTTTTAGACTTTGGTGGTCTATTTACCTATTATATTACGTATCGACTCGAATAAATCAAGAGGGCTTGGGAGATAGATATATTAGCGAGCGAAATTCCGTTTGTAATTCAGTTCAAGTGAATTAGCGACTAAATCCGCGGGAAATTGGTAGCCGGGTTCGCGCCGAATCGAATACAACAACTATCACAAGATTACACTAACGACTATCCTTTACTGACATACTATTGTTGATGTGGTTACTGTGCGTCTAAAAGAAATGATGACAGTACGCAGAAAATTAAGTTAATTAGGACAGTGGACTATTTGACGTATGAACCATATGTGCCACAAGCTTAAAGCAAAATTAGGCTTTTCATTAAACGCCGAGGCCTTTAGAAGATTACCTGAAGACCTGGTAAATTGGAAAACATAAAAATTCTTTTATTATGCAATCAAATCAAAAAACACAAGAATTAAGAAAATGCTGTGCTATCACAAAATATAGTGGTTTATGAAATTCCATGGTAATTGTCCAGAATTGGGCCTCCAAAAATTTTTTCATCGATTTTCGGTCATTCTACATAATAGAATTACGTATCAGAAGGTGGCAGTCTTTTATGACTTCATAAATAAAAAAGATTTTTTTGAATAATTTTTTGAAAATTGCTCCATTTCTGCATAGTTACCTGCATTGGTGACGTCATTGTTTGGCTAGGTAGATTTATGACAAATTGGAGTTTATCCAATGCCCAAAGTTAGAGTATTTTATTCACAGAAAGCATTAGTTTTATTAATTTCCTAGTACAATATCGGAATTTCATACAATTCCTAGAATTGGGACTCCAGGCCAAAAATCGCTCCAAAAATTTAATTAAATCATTGATTTAAATTTTAAATGCAAAATTGGAATAGGAATTTTGTATTTTTGTATTTAGATTTGAAATGCAAGTATGTATGTATTTCAAATGAAACCCATTGGATCAGATGGCGATTTCCAAGTAAAAAATGTTAAAATACTTGTGCACATTGAGAATTTTCTGTCACTTCCTACAATTCTCATAATTTCGATGATTAATCCGGTCCTTGAAATTACACCATTGTAAAATCGTCGAACCATGAAATTTTCTATCAATTCGAAACCACAACACAACATCACGGAAATGACATACAAATTAAAAATAAAATAGAAGTCAATTTGCCGATGGCGATATCCCTAGAGACCATTGTTCTGTGACCTGTGCAAAAATCAATAAACCAAAACGTAGCATTCTGTTCGTTTTTAATAACGGACAAAACCTCACTTTCCTTTTTAATTTACAGGCCTATAAATTTACTTTTGTGCGTTTGCAGCGCTCCTGTATTTATTTATACATTGTTCCATTGGGAATACACCAGGACAGTGCAACTGTTCTGAAAATAAACGTTTTTTTCAACTGAAAACAATCGGAGGTCACGAACATACACAGTATAATGACATAAATCCAATAAATCTGCAGAAGTTTCTAGAACGCGACATTTGAATCCTATTTTTTCTTAACTCTACTTTATCTTTTAAAATTTAAGTGTCTAATGTAAATATTAATTTGTATATATGTATACAGGGTGTCTTGATACTATTGTAAAAAGAAGGGATATATATCACTCAATTGTTCGCAAAAATTATAAGGATCAATAATTTTTGAGTTATGATCGGCTAGTGTTGACGAATATCCTTTTATAATTGTTATTGTCTACCATGATCAAGAAATCGGTTCTGCAACAATCTGGTGATTGTATTTACCCTCTGATTTATCAACACACTTACAGGCTACGTTACATCTTTTCTTGAACACACCCTGTATTAGTATTAGAACTGCATCGCTGCAACATTTGTTAATTTGAAGGAAACTGTTTTTTCATGCAGAGATGATATACTGCAATGTCGTTACACTTCGATAATTAGAAACTTTCTGCTAATAACAGGCGTGAAAAATTGATATTGTAGACAAGCAGATGCTATATGTAATCAGTTAATGTATGAAAGTAAATGTGAAAGCTAAGACTCTAGGAGAAATTCAATTAAAATCGGGTGAAATAGGTCTCTTCGCCTATTTTCTCACAAAATAAATATAATTTATCTCATGTATATATACAATGTTGTGTAAAAAAGTATGTCAAATTATCGTATCAGTTTATAGGGCTCTGTAATTTTTAAATTAGACCTTGTAATGGTCTCAATATTCGTAATAAATACCTAAGTGAAGAGCTAAGAGCGTGGCTACAACACCTCTGTCAGCGCCAGCAAAGTACCATGACAACGGTTACGTTAGCAGTAAATTTGCAGGCATAGCACTCTCCACCTAACCCCGTAGAGAGAAGAGATAGCGGCGAGTGCACCAGTCTACTTCACCTGCAGACTTGGGGATACTAATGTCTTATACACCTTGATGAAAATCTAAATTATAATATATAGGTCCTGGAGAAGCCACGGGCCACCCCCATGTGAATATCATTGCGCCCCTATTATCTGTTATATAATAAGAACAATTTTTTAACGCTTCAACTTACGGTAATGGTTAATAAAAGCCTATTTTAGTTTAAAGTATGACGCCACTTTTATTTGGTTAATTATTTCCTTAATTATACCCACTTGAAACAATTAAGTCGTCAGTTAATTAATGTTACGTACCCCTAGTCAATAATTGTAATTTATAATATTATCATTCATTACGGTAAAATATAGTTATTAAAATTGAAATCAAACAATTTTTCGTCGTGTTTATAGTTTTACACATAAATTGTACCTATAACCCATTGATGATACAAACCAAATTTAATGATTTTGGTTTACAAAATTAAAGTCATATGTAAACTGTCTCGCTGTTGCTTTTGGCAAATGGTTCGTCAATAATTATGTCATCTTTGGCCCAGTTTTTTCACAATTGTTAAATTGTTTAACTTCTACGTTTTGAGATCATAATATTTACATTACTTTATAAAAATAATAATCAATAATCGAAAGCAGTATAAATAAAAATCGCAATACACAGCCGTTCTTTACACAACATAGGCGAACACTGGGATGGATTTTTTTAAAATTCAACCCCTGAAAGGGTGAAACGGGGGTTTAAGGTATCGGTTAAGGCACAGCCCCAACCCTTGAGTTAGGAAGCTTGAATTTATGGTATGAATGCTTAGATATACAAGGGCAAGGTGAAAAGTTGTGGGTTTGACAATGAAGATTGCGATTTTCTGTTAATAAATGATTTTATTTGTCTACATAATCTCCCTCGACTTGAACACACTTGTTCCAGTGTTCCTCCAATGTCATTTTTCTTTCCCAAGAGTGAGAAAGTCTGGAAGACTGCAACTATTCATCTACAGCCCTATCAACATTATCTTTGGGGGCAAAGCATTTCCCAGAAACAAATTTCTTCAAGTTTGGGAACAGGTAGAAGTCTGACGGTACAAAATCAGGAGAACAGGGGGTTGGTCAAGCAATTGTACCCAAAATTCTGATGTTTTCCCATCACCAACGTGCTTTTGTATGCAGGTGCGTTGTCATGGTAGAAGATGATTAATTTCTTCAACAATTTTGACATCCATATGGTCAAGAAGGTTGGAGTAATATTCGTTCGTGATTAGCATCCCAAAAAGCTGGCCACGATGTTTCGTGTAGATGCGAACGACTTCGTTTTCTTTGGCGTTGACCCATCAGCTTCCTGTCACTGCTTGAACTAATGTTTCGTTTTTGGAGTGTGGTGCTGGACCCATGTCCCCATCCATGGTGACAAATTCCTGAGATCAAAATGCATTCTAACATGGAAACTTGGAAACATATCTCTCAGAGATCTTCAAAAAGAAAAGTCCGATCACTGCTGGTGGACGGGCAGCCCTTTCGACCCCTACACTGTAGTGCAAAGCCGAAGGGTACGGTGGAAAGACCATTTCAATCTCCTTTTAGCAATCATAAAAAAGGATGGAGTTGAAAGATGATGATGACGGAATGAAGGCAGAAAAGAAGTGAAAGATTTTATTTTTCCTTTATCCATTGCTGCTCCAGCATTTGTCTAAATGATTCAAAGAAAGAGTAGAAAAATTCGGGGCTATAGTAGACTGATCGTACATTAGGCAGTGCTTACAACATGTAGTAAGCATGTACCAATTGTATCGCGCAACTCAACCAGTTGTAAATAATTGCAAAACACTCGTCTGAATTAATTAACGGTTCGTTGTGTAGCAAGGCCTGATCAGTTAAGCGGCAGCCGGAGTTTTGCGGAAATGTCAATGAATGGTGTCACAGGAGTGTGCGTGCGTGCAAACATACATTTTATACGTGTGTGCATTTGTATCTCCACATAGAAGTGGCGCAAATGGGAAAATAAATGTAGGCACCTATATATGCAATATATGTTTCAGTCATTTTAGTATCTCATGACCTTCGGGTCGGTTTTGCTGGTGCTTTATCGTATATTTTAAATTGCGGGCGGTGCCCGTTAAACGGAAGCAGAAAGCCGACGAGAATTGCAGCAGCGTTTACGCTAAACAAAAATGGAAATTTAACGATTTATGAAAATGTTTGTAGAGTTCTCTTACGTGTTTGTTTACATTTTTATAACCCACTTTTGATTTCGATTTAAGTTTTAATATTATATTATCTGCATGATGTCAAAAAATGTAGTGTACTCTATGACGAATTCCAAACTTGAACCATGATACGCGTTGCTGATATAATATGTATATAGCATATGTCATGTTTATTTAATTCAGATATTGAAATTCAACTGCCTTACTGCAAAATTTAACTATGGCCTTTATGTACCTACCTACAAGTTTATAGAAATCAATTGTGTTGCGCCACGGAATTCCGTTGCTACCCTATAAAGTATGGAATTAAACTGATGGAACATCTACTCGATAACCCGCAGAATTAAACTTCTGAACTATAAAATTCCAATGATACAACAGGGAACATAATATCTGTCGTATATTTTCAATTAATTAGACTTTGTACCTATCATGAAGTTCAAATGATACCTATCAAGATTCAACTGCTATACTGTTAGGATTTAAGATGGCAGTGTAGAATTCAACTGTTAACTACTCCATCCGAAATTCAATTGTTCTTTTCGAGGTAGTCAATTGTTGGACTCCGGAATTCAATCGAAATTCAAAATCAAATGTTAGTTACAAGGTTTGGATTCAATTTTTATCTAACAAAATTTAACTATAGCACTGTAAAATTCAACTGGTAGTTATTTACGGAATTCCGGAATTCAATCGCAATTTAAAATACATACGGGGTATACGGTTTGCATTCAATTATTATCCTAAGAAATTCAATAGCTAATAGTTTCTCTGCGTGAAATTCAATTGTTATTTTCATGACGTTTAGTTGTTGAACTCCGGAATTAAATCGAAATTCAATATCAAATGTTAGTTACAGGGTTTGGATTTAATTTTTATCGAACAGAATTCAACTATAGCACTGTAAAATTCGACTGGTAGTTACTTACTGAATTCCAGAATTCAATCGCAATTTAAAATACATACGGGGTATACGGTTTGCATTCAATTATTATCCTAAGAAATTCAACAGCTAATAGTTTCTCTGCGTGAAATTCAATTGTTATTTTCATGACGTTTAGTTGTTGAACTTCGGAATTCAATCGCAATACAATATGAAACGTAGTTTGGGTTCAATTACAATCTTGCGAAATTCAACTGTTAATAGCTTCTCCACTAGAAATTCAATTGTCATTTTAATAGCTTTTAATTGTTGAACTCCGGAATTCAATCGCAATTGTCCAGCGAATATTAAACTGAGAGTGAGCGCGACTGGTGAAAGTTTAGAGACATGGAGTTTTGAAGACAAGCATAGACATTCCGGACTAACAAAAACGGCAACGAAATCGATATTTCACCACTGCTGTTCACTACAACGAGATTCGCATACAAATTGCACGTAGCGGTTGATCGAGGGAAACATAATGTTAGTCACCTCTTACCCCCTCCATGAACCGTTCCATATGAGCGAAACCGCTCGTATCCGAATCTTGTACGAGTGAACAGTAAAATAACACTCCAGTTGGCCAGTCGTAATTTAACTGTGACATGTCGCTTCAAAAACGAAAGTGTCTTACACTTTATGAGAAATCGCTTGTGATTCAAGGGTTAAATGATGGTCAAAGCGTGACGCATTTGGCCAAAAGATATGGTGTCGCAAAATCGACAATTTGCAAGATAAAACTGAACAGGGAACTAATATCTAAAGCTGTGACAGATACAAATCTCGGATCAATTAGAAGGAAAACATTAAAGAGTCCGAAGCTTCCCAGAATGGAAAAAGAATTGTACAAGTGGTTTCTTCATCAACGAAACCAAAATCTGTTTGTGAGTGGTGAAGTAATTAAGCAACAAGCAAAACTAATTAATTCACAAATTAGTGAAAATGATAATGAATTCACGGCCAGCGACGGATGGCTACAGCGCTTTAAATCACGATTTGGAATTCGCTCTTTAAAAATTTTTGGAGAAGAATTGTCTTCTCCACCAGAACCTGCGGACCCGTTCAAAAATGTATGTTTATTTTGTTATTATTACAGACGCTTAGTACATATTAACGAGAAGAGATCGATAATGTTTCTTTTTTCGTTCACAATATCGAATGTGTTATCTGCGATTGGTATCTATCTATAAATGTTGTATTGAACGTTTGTTAGCGATGAGGAAACCAAGGGAGAGATCAAGACTTGAATTACTTGATCACTTTTACCTTTGGTCTTAGTCTTATTCCCACATTGGTTTTGGTGTTTTGGTCCTCGGCTTAAAACAATTGCTAAATTTATGAGAATTTGCAAAGGAAGAGAGTGTAGTTACAATGGTAAATTCATTTGGGTGTTTCCTTCCCATCAGCTATTAAATGCTGGTGCGTGGGCAGTCCCTCTCAAGATGCAACCAGGGAGAACTTCCTCTTTCAGCCTCCTTTTAGGAATCGTAGGGATGGGTGGTGGGGTGGTTGAGGTGAGAAAGATGAGATAGATGATAATTACAGAAGATGGTAGAACACTGATTTTTTATCTGTGAAATATTACTACCCAGCACTTGTCTAATGATTACAGAAAAACACGATATGTACCGATCGGGAATAGAGCCGGCGTCCTCTTGAATGTGAAGCAACGATCTAAACCCCTAGGCCATGCCGCTCAGTCAACAGTAGATGACGCTGCATTTAATAAGTCTCATTTCTTTTCTCTTTCTAACATTAGTATTTAGAATATATCTCGAAATAAGAGTTTCGAGAATATAGAGTACGATAAAAAGCACTAGAGATACTACTACTACATGAACGAAAACAATCAGCGGACGATTTAAACAGTATAAATTTATAGATAACTACAGATATGTATAATAATTGCTTTTAATTTTTGCATCGCCTAACGGAAACCCCGTATAATGTGAATAAATTATGCTAGGCACGTCTCACTGGCCTCGCAGTGTTTTTAAACGTAAGTGAGTGGCCTCTTGCCCGAACTAACTTATCGAGTTTCTACGAACTGCCGCCCCACTCTTCATGTTATACAACAGCGCCCAGGCAATGACGCTAGTCCGCCGTGCGCCGTCTACCGTGAACAGATTAAGATTCCGCTCATAGAAACGAATGTCCGTTGACCTTAAAAATCGATACTTGCAGCCGCTGTTGTTACGTCATTGATGTAAATCCCCGATATATTTGCCATGTTCCCAGTCGTATTAGCTAGAGAGATGTTGTTCTATTCGTAAATCCACTTTAAATACTTATTATAGATACACAGTTCGTTGTTAGTGGATGTGTTATCTGCATACGGTGTGGCACAATAAGTAATTTTTTGCACATCAAAACGTAAAATGTCGCTTAAAAAACAAAAGTACCTGACTCTTTATGAGAAATCGCTTGTGATCCAGGGATTGAACGATGGACAACGTGTTACGTATTTAGCAAAAAAATACGGTGTCGCGAAATCCACAATTTCCAAAATAAAACAAAACAGGGAAATAATATCCAACACGGTGAAAAATACATATCTCGGACCTGGTAAAAGGAAAACGCTAAAGAGTTCAGAGTTTCCCAGAATGGAGAAGGAATTGTATGATTGGTTTCTCGATCAACGAAGTAAAAATGTTTTTGTGAGTGGCGAAATAATTAAGCAGCAGGCGAAACTGATTCACTCACGAATAAGTGAAAATGATAAAGAATTCACAGCCAGCGATGGATGGCTACAACGCTTTAAAAAGCGATTTGGAATTCGCTTTTTAAAGATTTCTAGGCAAAATTTATCGTCTCAACCAGCGCTTGTGGATCCCTTTTTAAATGTACGTTTATTTTGTTAATTATAGACGACTATAGTGTGAGCAAATCGATAATGTGAACAAACGCGTTTCGTTCACACTATCGAGCGTATCTTCTATAATATGTATTGATATGTAATCTACTTAACTTTTGTTAACGATGAGGAAGTCAAGATCGAGAATAATACTATCTTAACTTTGACATTACTTTTCAGATAGGAAATAATGAACAAAATGAAGGGAGAGACGATGTTGGGCAACGATCAAAACAGCGCGTTAGCGACTGTCAAAAAAATGAACAAAAATCATCCTTCGAAATTTCCCAATTATTTATAAAAGAAGAACAGCCTTCAACAAGTATCAGCTTCTATCCTGAGAAAACCGAGTCAGTATTAGAGCCCTCCATGGACATCAAAGAAACCATTATCATCAAACAAGAAGAAGGAACAACATCGTCATTTTTATCTCAAAACGAATACGACAATAACCAAGAAGATGTCACATCTTTTTTGGACAATACAACAAAAGGGACGTCTACAGATAAACATTTAAGTAGTGAAGGTCAAGAGAGTAATGACGAAGAAGATGTTAATGACTGTACTGATGTAATCATAAAAAATGAACCACAGTCACCAGTTTCTCGTTCTGAAGACGGTGATCAGGGAATTATGGGCGATACAGATGACTTATTAGGAAACCAAAAATCTGATAAAGCAATACAAGTCAATGTGAAACCAAGAATGAAAAGTGTTTCTATACAAACGGGCCCAATCGTCTGCGAATGTTGCTTGAAATTAAAAAAATAATTAATTTTATTATTAATAACTAAGAAAATCTGTTTCTTTTTTTGAAAATGTACTTATTAATTAGAGGAATAAATAAATATTTTATATCTCGTCTTTGTTATTACAACAATAAAAAATAATAATAATTACGTATGAAATAATATTTTAATGTTCAGCGGCTATATCTGCGAATGTAAATTAGGTAAGTGAATTTTCAAATAAAACTTATCGTTAGTTAATTTTTAAGTCACACCCTAAGTCTTGCTTATTGCTAGTCTTTTTCAAGTCACACTCTAGGTACTGCTTATAGTTATAGTCTTTTATATGAGTCACACTCTATGCATTGGTTATTGCTAGTCTTTTTAAGTCACACCCTATGTTTAGCTTATTGCTAGTCTTTTGTGAGTTACACACTGTGTATTGCTTATTGCTCTTTTTTTTCAAGTCACACTCTAGGTATTTCTTATTATGTATTAGTCTTTTTAAATGAGTTACATCTTGCATATTATTTATTGTTAGTTATTTTTAAGGGAAAGAGTGAGTCACACGCTGTGTATTTTGCTTATTAGACAGGAATCTAGTCTCCTACACTGTGTACTTGATTACTCATTAATACCTACTCAGTAGCAACAAAAATACCTCGAAATTTTGATTACCGTTATCAGGTATGTACAAAATATAGTACAACACATTGAGTTAGATTCAGAAAGCGACAAAGAAGATAAGATTAGATAAATTACTGTAATCGGATCTTTTTCATTATGTTATTAACTGTGTACTTACATGAACGAAAACAATCAGCGGACGATTTAAACAGTATAAATTTATAGGTGACTATAGATATGTATAATAATTGCTTTTAATTTTTGCATCGCCTAACGGAAACCCCGTATAATGTGAATAAATTATGCTAGGCACGTCTCACTGGCCTCGCAGTGTTTTTAAACGTAAGTGAGTGGCCTCTTGCCCGAACTAACTTATCGAGTTTCTACGAACTGCCGCCCCACTCTTCATGTTATACAACAGCGCCCAGGCAATGACGCTAGTCCGCCGTGCGCCGTCTACCGTGAACAGNTATATTAAAGTTACTTCAAATAGTTTAACTCATAAATCCTGTGAATTTTCGAAGTGAACGTACTAAACTGAAAATTAATTTAATATCCTAAACTTCCGTAGTTTGCTGGTTCATTACTAGTTTACCAAGAAAATGCGCTTTATACAAGTTTAGTAGATCGATTCACAACTGATAATGGAATAATCAAATTCCTGGTTGGTTCCTGTGGAACTTTGCAATAATCAGATTATGTCGGCGAAGGACCTTACAATTGTTTTATCGTAAATCAAATTACCAACAATTCTTAATTGCCTTGCGCTTAATTAACATTAGATTAAATTAAGTATTCTTCAAAAGGTTTGGTGAGATTTGGGTGAAAATTTATTTTTTGTGTACATTTTTCTAAACGAAAGTCCACATGTAGATATATTGGAATTAATTACAACGAGATGGAATTGCTTAAATTAAAAATGACTTGATAATGTAACACATAATTGCACATAATATAAATTATTATCGATCTCGTGGACCTATATGAAGGAAGCTTTCAAATAAATAATAAAATAATACAGCCAGTGAAATATCATCATTATCCTTATAGAAATTTTTATGTAAACGGGTAAAAAAATATCGATTGCCTTTTAATTAATAACTAATCAAAACTTATTCCTTTTGAAGGAATCCATTTCGCATCATATTTTCCATACTCAACCCCTTTCAGCTCAACCCTTGGTCTATTACGCGAATTGTTTATGCAATTATTATGCAAAAGAAAAACGTAAGACAAGCATCGATATTAACGTATTAATATTGTGATTTAATTAAATTGCGTTAACACTGACTAACATAAGTTTTACTGATGTGATTTATTGGATAAAACAAAAGGTCAACACAGAATTCTATCGATCTTAGATCATAAAAACAGTTTCGGCAAGGATAACCCTAAAATTTTGCTACAGTTTGCTTTTTTTGGATTTCCTGTTTGCACACATGTAAATATACTTTTATCTAATCAACTTATTCGCGCCTTTCCGCGACCTAATTAATAAAAAACTATACGGTAAGTTCAATACACCTCCAAAGAACACTCTGGACTAAATACGGAAAGAGAAAGCTAAAAATACAACTTAATACACCGGGCAACAGGGGCGCACATGGAATTTAGATTTTGGGGAACTAAAAGAAACGATTAGGAAGTTTAGAGTTTTTGTAGTAGTGAGATAAAAAAAATAAATCCTTTTCATATGCTCCAAAAGTAAATAGCATCTTATCTAGAAATATACAGGTAAGGCAAAACGTTCACGTCTATCTGAAAACATTTCTTTCTCCTCTGAAAACTATCTACGCGAACTCTCAAAATCTTTTGAACAAAACGTAACCATTTTTATAAAAAGATTGCCGAAGGTACTCATAAATACAAATCCTCCTATACCATGTCATATTTTTCAAAACCTAATATCCTTATGTATGTCGTTCAACTCGCCATTAGTGTATAGAACAAATTTTAGGCGCTAAAATATGTGATGTTCCAATTCCCATTTCAAAGCCAATTAGACGATTAAAAAATTGAAAGTAGTGAAAAATAATGCGTTTTTAATTAGGAAAAATAGAGTAGGTACATTTTCATAATTATAAAGAAAAAATGAAAACGAAAAGCAAAAGTTCGCTCCAATTACCATTTACCAACACGGGTATTCCCACCATGAAAATTTGCGGTACGCTTGGTTGATGCGCAAACACGATAGTTTACGAGTTAATTAGTTGAATAAATTATTTCCCTGATTCATAAAGTATAATTAATAGTGAAAATTAATCATCATTTTACTTTCTGTATACCTACGGCCTGTGAAAACCAATTTCAAAACTAAAACAACACCCACAATTGTAAAAATTACTTTAGAAAACAAAAAGTACCTTAATATACATTTTAATTTATTTAAAATATAGAAATTTATATACTCGATATTTACACACCGTCTATAATCTATATAGATACATATAATTAAAAAATCGAACCTTTGAATTGAAGTGTTTACCTGTAAGTAATATCAAAATAATTGTTTTTTTATATTCATAAAATTATATTAATAATATGCTATTAACACACAAACGCGTCTTAAAAAATTGTCTGTATAGGCTAATCATTGAAACAACTGAACCGATTTCTTTGGAAT